ACTCCCAACTCTTTTTTATTGGTGTTGTTAGGGGCCTTCACATTTATTTCAATTCATGGAGAACCCACGTGACAAAGCATCATGTTTTTCTATGTACTCTAAACTTTACAGCAGCAAATTGCCAAATTTTTCTTTTGTAGAACCATTAGGCAGGTTAGAACTGCCAACCCATAATTGGCAGCTAAGTAATCAACATTTTGCACCACCAATGCTCCAGTCCAATTATTCAGGCTGCTTAATACAGAAAACATCTGTGTGTCTGGGCCGTTCTCAAACCACTGTAAACTAGCTTTTCGTGGTGGGGCCAATCTTCTCTCTCTTTTTTTAAAATAGAGTACTCATAGTTACTTTGCCCCTTTAGATTAAGAATCAATGCTCTCAAATAATTCTCAGATGAATGTTAAAATAGCTTGAGAAAAATATTGTGGGATAATAAAGTTTTACCTGTAATGTTTCCTTAAGAAAAAAATAAGAATGTTGAATTTCAGTAATTACTGCTATTAGAAACATTTCACTATAAGACCTACCTCATGAAGAATCAATATGAATACCAGATAATCAAAATGTCTGGGATGGAATAAATCAATGTCCAGAACTTTTACAAGAGCTTTACTGATACGCTATCTGGGTCTTCAACCATGTCTAATTTACTCTAGTAACTGTTAGCAATATACTACAACATGCAGATGAACTGCAAATGATCCGAAACACCGATGTAAGATTTGAAGTTAGTTTTGGTAGAGTTTGAAATTATGGTAATAAACAGACTTAATTATCTACCCTCTCTGCTTCCAGGAAAAGATCTGCACAGGTGTATTTACTTCAACAATCTCCAATGTGGTAACCCTTAATTGTACACCTCAGATTTTGGAAGTGCTGAAGAAGCCAGGTTCCAATCTGGGTAATGGCACAGGATCTTGGCAGATTATCCTGCCTCTTGATTTCAGGGAGTTTAATTTTATGTTTTCAATGAAATGTGTCATTGAGGAAGATCCAGAACCAGATGGTAATGTTGGCTGGAGTGGTTTCTCACCTATGTTTGGCAGCTCCACGCAGAAGCAGTATTTTCAGTGAGTAGGACTTCAGTCTCTACTCCATAGCTTGACCATGGGGAAGCTTTAGGTAGTAGGTGTAATGACGTATCTCATTCAAGGTCTTGTGAACTATGAACATCTGACATCTGTGCTGAAAACAGGACACGATGCATCCTTTAAGTTTGCAGAGATCCAAAAGGTATGTTCTGTTTTTAAAGGTCCTCCTGGAATTCATTATATTAGCCAAGCTTATAATTTGGAACATATTTAACATGGAGAAATTGAATGAGTTACTGCACTGCTCATTTTAAAGGTGGCCTTTTCCTGTAAATGGGTTCTCTTACTAGAATGGTGTCAGCAAAGCCCAGGCCCTGGAGAAGGACATCTTGCTTGGTAGAGTGGCAGCCTCAGAGAAGAAGGCCCTCAATGAGATGGATCAGAACAGTGGGCTCAAACTTAGGAACAACTGTGAGGGTAGCATAAGACCAGGCCATCTTTCTTTCTGTTGTTCATGGGGCTGCTGTATGTTGGAACCAACTCAATAGCTCCTAGGGACCGCAACAGCCACTTGCTGGCATTTGAGCAATGGTTTGTCCTGATGATTTATTCACCATAGGTTAATAACAGTCATCATAATGATCTAGATTTGAACACCTATTACGTAATAATAGACTTTGCATATGTGTTTTACAACACTTCTCCAAGAGTCTCCCATTTTGTGGTTGAGGAAGCTGAGGCTCTGAGCGGTTGGGGAATGTGCTGAAGATCCATTGACACTAAGTGGCAGAGCCAGGATTCTGCAGCTGTCTGGCTGCCAGCAGGTTCTCTGTCCATCTTATCACCCGCCCCGCCCCCTACATTGTACAGGAATATCAGCAGCAACAAGTCTTCTAAACTCAACACGTGACTGTTCAAAAAAGCTTCTCTGTAATTTAGCATTTTCATTGAAATAAACAAAACAGCACACCCACTCAGACTCAGCTCTCCAGAAGTTTGCTACTCCAAATAGTCTCTGTCATGTTGAAAGAAGGGCAAGTATTCTGATTCTCCATCTACATCCCTAGGTATTTAAACTTTAGCTTTTTCAGACAGCACCTGATTCTTTTTTTCCAGAGATGTTAGTGAAATTGAGAAACAATAAAACCCACAAATCAAAATGTGTTCATCTGAAATTTGACTTTGCTCTTCAATGCTACAGAAATTCATTTTCACCTATTCCCCATTCTCCTTTCCAAAGTTCTAAAGCACGGATGCATTGGGAGCGCTTTGTATGTCCCCAAGGAAATATTTCATTCATATAATGTCTCCTTTGTAATCAACACTGAGAAATGTCACTTTGATTAAACACAACTCTGAATGACTAAGACCACAGTACAATAAATTCTCCAGAGCTATCTTTCAGAACAACTGATTGCTCTCCAGTCTTAATCCTCCAGAGTCTTATTTAATCAAAATGATGTTGCTAATTAAGGATTAAAACCTCAGAATAGAATAAAAAATGAAGGAGTTTTCGTTCTCCTTTGGGTAGGTCAAGGAGGCAGAACTACTGTAAGACACTGAATGGTCCCTTCTACCTTTGGTAAAACTGCATTATTCTCTGACATTTGGATTTAATCCAAAATAGGCCGGATTGCCTGGTAATATTAATGTAATTGGGAAAAAGGCAGGGGAGGAGGGTTGGAGAGAGAGAAAAAATAAAGGAAAAATGAAAGGAAGGGGGGCGGGGAGGAACAGAAGGGAGGAGGGAAGGAAGTAAGAATAAAGGAACTGCCCTAGATAGCCACATGGTTTTAGTTTTGTGTTAGGTGCCATTGGACTGGTCCTCACCCACAGCGACCTTATTTACGCACAACAGACCAAAACACTGCCCGGTCCCATGCCATACTCACAATTGTTCCTATGCTTGATCCCATTATTGCAGCCACTGTGTTAAACCATCTCCTTGAGGATCTCTGCCCCTCTACCAAACACAATGTCCTTCTTCAGGGACTGATCTCTCGTGGCCACCTGTCTAAAGTATGTCTTCTCATCCTTGCCTATAAGGGGCACTCTGGCTTTCCTTCTTCTAGAGCAAATCTGTTTGTCCTTTTAGCAGTCCATGGTACTTTCAATGTTCTTCTACAGCACCACAATTCAAATGAATTCATTCTTCTTCAATTCTCCTTATTCAGTGTCAAACTCTCATGTGCATACGAGGCAACTGAAAATGTCCTGGCTTGGGGCAGGCACACTTTAGTCCTGAAAGTAACATCTTTGCTTTTCAATACTCTAAAGAGATCTCGTGCAGTAGATTTATTCAATGTAATGCATCTTTTGATTTCTTGACTGCTGCTTCCATGAGCCTTGATTATAGATCCAAGCAACACAACATCCTTGACAACTGATAGTTACATATATTTCTGATTTATTTTTGTATTTATTCTAAGTTTTAATGTAATGATTTAATATGATGTTTCTTTATATTGTCTGATCACAATGTCTATGCATTATTTTATCTATTGTTAACATGGATGGAAAAGACTCAGCGTATTTTGGAAAAGTGAGGGGAGTGCATTTTACAGAAAAGAAGCAACAAAAGATGTAATGTGTCTGAGATCTATTTAATGTTCATTGATGAATAACAAAAAACAATAAATTCTATGCTAAATGCTGAAATGCTTTCCTTTTAAAACTGATTTTCTAAAATATTTTAGAGCTAATTCTAGCTTCAATTTGTCAATATTTTTATTAATGTTAACCATTTTTCTTCAATACTGACTGGGTAATTATGGGTAGAATTCTAATAATAATTATAAATTTTTTTTTTGATAATTATAAAATTTTAGTTTGCTCTGTCAGAAAAAAAGTTGCCTTTTAAAAAAGATTATAGTAGAATGAAGTTGAGTCAGAAATTTAAGATTCTCATCAAGCCATATTTCCCTAGGAAACATCACTTTATATTTTAGGGTAATGGTGGTATTCCTCAAATTAAAAGTTATCCAATTAAATCATCTTAGAATAATAGCTGACCAAAAATGAGGAAAATACAGCCCACAGTGTGGTGTATTTAGAATTTATACATTTAACCACTTAATTGTCTAGAGAAGTCTTCTTGACTAAAGTTGATTTTAAAGTTAAATTTAATTTCTCAATAAGTCTTTTTGCTATTCCTACCATTTATGTATGCCTTTTTACAAGAAAATAAATGCTTGTGTCGTCATTAAAAAACAACAACAACAAAACAAAAAAAACAAAACTGATTTTCCTTGAATTTATGTTTAGTAATAACAACTGTTTTCTTACAAAACATCCAGACTGTATAAGAACACACGAAGAAAACGCCAGTTGGTTTCAATGAATACAAACTCTTTGAGGTGTGGGGGAAAGTAGATAAGAAACAGATACTGATTGATGCTTTAACAAATTATAAAATCTTTTTCCCATACTTCTCATCTTCTCTATGAATTAGCCTACAAATGTATAATCTGCCAAATTGGTCTATTACAATACAGACATAATTAATAATCACTACCATCTACTAATTTCCATCTACTGATTACTCTATATTATTATCTCTAGTAAAGCTTAAGAGGTGGTTTTAGTATCATTTCCTACAGATGCATGCACTAAATTTTACAGAGAACACATGACTGGATCAAGTTCAGGTGGCTTCCTTAAGTAGAGACTGATTACGTTCCTGAGCTACACACTATCCAACTTGACAGGTCACTTCACTCCACTTTACTTAGAGGCTGAATGTGTCAACGCATCTCAGAAAGGGGCTAGTTAGCTGTATTGGTCTGTACCTGCCTCATCTGCTCCCACAGCAACTGACTGAATCATTGTCAAAGGCACTGTCATATTGCCACTTACACAGCCCAAATAATGACACTCTGAACAAAATGGGACTAGAAAGCAAACAATGAGAAATCTCCAAAGGAAAAGAATGTCAGAAACCTGTTTTTTCTCCTAAGAGGTGTTACCTACCAGTTAAAAAATGACATTTGCTTTCTTGATCCATACTCCTGGAGGCTGTAAGCACCCAGTGGACACACGACAACTCTTATTCCACCTATGCCAACACAGATGGCCGACAGAGCTAGATAAAACAGTCTCTTCTGCTCCTCTTTTGTTGTGTAGTTAATCACGTGGTAAGAACCCATATAGAAATCTTCTGAGGGAAAAGCAACCACAGATAACAAAACAGTGCCTGTAGGCAGAGGAAAAGGGAAATAAATATGGCATAGAGTAATTGAATTACCATTCAACTCTGAAAGTAGCATCACTGTCTTACTGTTTTATCAAAATATTTGTTGAAATTGGACGATAGCTTGCTTTTGCTAAGTATGACTTCAATAAATGTTCAACTAATTTAGAATTCTAGCTTTTTTTACCCTCAAGCTTGAATTATCTTTTCTCTCAGAAAAAAAAAAGCAATCATGTCTATTTTAACAAAATTAAAACAATCCAGAAATGCATTAAATAGAAAGCTAAGATGTCAGTAATCTCACCCCTAGAGAAAACCACTGTTCCCAGGGTCATTTATTTGTTTTTAATCAGTAGAGTAATAGAAAACTCAATGGTCTCAGACATTTCAGAAGCCTGTTAAATCAAAGTTTTAAGAAGAATATTATTCTAGTTGGAGGAGAGCATGACCTTTCTTTCTTGTTTTTACCATCATATAGTCTGCTGAGTTATTTGGTGTGGCTTTTCAAGCTATAGTCTTTGGGACACTCACAAATGACTAGAGACCAAAACTCTATTGCCAGACAGTTAGTTCTGACTCATGCTGGCTGAATAGAGGTTTCCCAAAGCTGTAAATCTCTCTAGAGGTATACAGACTCATCTTTCGACTACCGAGCACCTGGTAGTGCCAGCACCACATTTACATAGTCAGTAAAACAATAGTAGACACCTTTTGGATATTCTCTGCTTTAAGCCAAGATCCATCTGACATCAGCAATGATATATCCTGTACAGAGACAGTGAATTATTTAATATGGCTCTTCTAGCCAATGTCTCTAATTCCCAACACACAACCTTTCACTGTATGGGTCTGATAAAAAGGTGGAGAAAAATACTGGTAGTATTCCCCTGTGAGTAATTGTGAACAGGATTCTCTTGAATGCATCCTGTTGTGTATAAATTGAGCCCCCTGAGAAGTAGAAGAAAGTTTTTTTTTTATTACCAGTAAGAGCTAGGAATGGTGCACATATTTTGGAGCTGAGGATCGGAGATCCCTGCATAGTGAATCTCTTGGATCCTAAACACTGCTTTAATATTGGAAGAGCAGCAGCAGAGCCAGCAGCCTGAGCAGGGAACACATTATGGACTTCCCAGCCCAGGGATCAAGTAAAGGAGGTTGCTTTGGTTCAGGAGGTTGACTTGTGGAGTGGGGTGCCACTGGTCACTTATTCAGGGACGTGAACCTCTAGCAACTCCTGGCAATATACTGCTGCCACTGTTGTTGGATGATCCTCAGCAAAATATTACTTGCATGTGTTATCAATGATATTCTTATATAATTTGCACATCCTGTTGGGTCACCTTTCTTCCAGTCAGTTGGCCATGTAGCTGCCTTTCAAATTTCCTGGCATATATGAGTGAGTGTTCATCACCTTGTCGAAACATTTCAATTGGTATTCCATCAATTCCTGGAGCCTTGTTTTGGCCTAATGCAGCTGAACTTCTTCCTTTACTACAATTGGTTCTTGCTGATATGCTACTTCCTGCAGTGGTTGCCTCAACTAGTTTTTTTCAGTGCAGTGAATTTTCCCCCATCTTCTTTTCACGGTTCCTGCATTATTTAATATTTTGCCCATAGTATTGTTTAATATTTTTTCAATAATCGGCACTAGAATTTTTCTTCAGTTCTCTCAGGTTAAGATATGCTGAGTGTGCTTTAACTTTTGGCTTGCTACCTCTAGGACTAACTTGTTTGTCAGGTCTTTGTACTATGGTGGCTTGTGTTTTGCCAGAAGCTATGGCACTGGTATTTGAAATACCAGTTGGGTCACCCAAAGAGAACTGGTTTCTGGAGAGCTTTCAGAACGAAGAACCAACTACCAGAAGGGATACACTGCCCACTTCAGAGGCATTAATCACTGAAAACCATGTAGATGGCAGCAGGATATTGTCAGAGATAGTGCCAGAAGATGAGCCCACCCAGGCCAAAGGCACTTAAACTGAGGAAGGGTTGCCTTTCAAAAAAGAGTTGGCCATAGTGATGTGGCTGGAGAAAAGCCTTTGGGACCTTCATATGCTGATGAAGCATGCCTCTAAATGACGAGAAAGAGCAGCAAACATCAATTAATAATTGGACATTTCAATGTACAAAATATGAATCTAGGAAAATTATCAAAATGAAATAGAATGCTTGAAAATAGGTATTCTAGGTCTTAGTGAACTGAACTGGTATTGGCCACTTTGAGTCAGAAAATCATGTTTTACTATGACAAGAATGATAGATTCAAGAAAAACGGTATTACATTCATAGTCTAAAATAGTAGTTCTCAACCTTCCTAATGCTGGGACCCTTTAATACAGTTCCTCATGTTGTGGTTACCCCCCAACGATAAAATTATTTTCATTGCTACTTTATAACTGTAATTTTGCTACTGTTATGAATCAGATGACCCCTGTGAAAGGGTCATTCGACCTCCAAAGGGTTCGTGACCCACAGGTTGAGAACCACTGGTCTAAAAGGACATTTCAAGATATATCTTCAAGTACAATACTGTCTGTGATAGGATAGTGTATGCACATACAAGAAAATCCAGTCAGTACAGCTATTATTCAAATTTATGTACCAACCACTAAAACTAATGATAAGGAAAATGGAAGAACTCTAATAATTTGTTCAGTTTGAAATTGATCAAACATGCAATAAAGATGCATTTACTGTTATTGGCTATTAGAACGTAAAAGTTGAAAACATAGAGGGAGGGACAGGTATGGGAAAATATGACCTTGGTAATAGAAATGAAGCTGAAGATAGCATGATAGAATTTTGCAAGACCAATGACTTCTTTATTGCAAATACCTTTTCAACAAAACAAATGTTGACTATACGTGCAGACTCTCCAGATGGAATACACAGAAATCAAATGACTACACTTTGGGAAGAGATGCTGAAGAAGCTCAATATTAGCAGCTAAAACCAAGTCTGGGGCCCACTGTGGAACAAACCATAAATTGCTCATATATAAGTTCAAGTTAAAGCTGAAGATAATTATAACAAGTCCATGAGAACCAAAATGTAACCTCGAGCCTATCCCACCTAAATTTAGAGAACATTTCAAGAACAGATTGATGTGTTGAATACTAATGACAGAAGGCATGATGGGAAAGCATCAAGAACATCATTCATGAAGAAAGCAAAATGTCATTAGAAAAACATAAAAGGAAAAAAAGATCAAAGTGGATGTCAGAAGAACTGAAACTTGCTGTTAATTGAAGAGTAGCTAAAGCAAATAGAAGAAATGATGATGTCAAAGAGCTAAACAGAAAAGCTCAAAGGGCAGCTCAAGAAGACAAAGTAAAATGACTAGATAGGACTACACCAATTGGAGGTGTCTGTGGTCCACCAAAGGGGTTGGATAGCATTCTATAACGTAAATAAGATATACTATACAATTTGGAGTGGGACTATGTAAATAAGATGTATGGGGCCTAACAAGGGGATCAATCAGTTTTGACATACCACTAGGTTAAATCAAGTCATCTCATAAATAGGCAAAAGGGATCTCACTACCAGGAATGAAACATGTCTTTTAGATCAGAGATTCAGGCACTGAATCTATTGGATCAAGGAAAGAGAGCTGTGATACCACAGATGGCAAGAAACAACAGTAGCAAAAAAAGAGAAGCAATGCAAAGAAATGCCAGCCACTAAACTAGAAGACTGATAAGACACAGACTAGACTGTAAAGTAATACAACCACTATGAAAGTAGTCTGGCACTTGCTCAAAATTAGAAATAGAAGTTCCGATAAACCAACAATCTTTCTTCTTGGTATTTATCCTAGAGAATACAATAACACAAATAGGATATTGCATAATTAAATATATAACACAATAAATGAACTGTTAAATTATGTACAGATAGATACATAGTACAAGAAATGAACAGTTACATTATAAAGCAGTACAAATGGCTCAATGCAACTCACTACCATGTGAGAGACTAACAGTCCTTCAAGTCTAGTCTGCTGCCAGATCTTCCTCTATTTATAGAGAGAGGTAGGCTATCTCAGCACAGGAGGCAACTGCAAGGCAGATCACCAACTGTCAACCAACCACCAGTCCCAACTGCCAGTCCCCAGCTCCAGAGATGTCTTAAAGGGACCTCAACTTACAGTGACACAGTCCACAGGCTAGGTGTCCCACAGGTAGTGTAGCCTCTAAATTGAGGCACTTAACAAACAAGGCAGCCGCACACTGGTCCGATGATCAAAGAGCGAGAGACAAGAAAGGCGAGGCTCATCGAGCCATTTATCTCTCCACCTTTCAGTTAATCCCACTTGTGTTTATCAGACAGGCTGACACAATAAACTATCTCAATCCACCCCTTACCACCCTGGCACCTGTCCATAATTCTTTAGCCATATATACTTATATAATTTATAGATATTGATGAAATCACACTTATACTTATCATCAATCATCTATCATACATATAAATGGAAACACAGTCCAATTGTATTTGATATATCATACCTGAATGAAGGAAAGATACGCAATAAACACATAAAAAGAAAATACATTGACAATTACAAACCTCGCTTTTGCAATTGATCATGTGGTAGTAATTGATAGGTAGAACTACCTTCTACTACTACTCATTCTGTATTACCTTTGCCCTCAGCAAGCACCTCAGCTGGCTGTGGTTTTTTGCCTGGTGGGGTGACCCAGACCTTCATCCCTGAGGGGTCTGAGTCATTATAAATCCTGTCAGGATTGGGTTGCTGTAATTTACCATTTACTTTAATCACAGGGCATGGTAGCATTAAGAGTCGATCTATGGGACCTCCTGGATTCCAGACATATTCTTCTTTACCTCCATTATGTAACACCAGTCCAATTTCTCCTTGGTAATCAGGATCAATCACACCACTCAGTACAGTGACACCCTTCCTGACCTGTTGATCCAAAGGCATAAGAAGCCCAAAGTGGCCAGGGGGCATTCTCAGCTGTCAGTTCAGTAGAATCCGGGCTGTGTTTCCGGGTGGGAGAGTTCCTTCCTTCAGGACCAGGACCTCCAGGCCTGAGGAACACAGGGTTGCTGGGACAGGAAGCAAAAATGCCACAAGTGGATCACAAGGAGTAATAGTGAGTCATGCCACTCCAGCTTCCACTCCTTGGTTCCTGGACCCATGAATTCTGGCTACTGGAGACACAGCACCATATATTGGCCGCTGGTTTAGAGCATATACAGCTTCCTGGAGAACATTTCCCCAGCACCGCAAGTTGTTGCCACCTAGTTGGCAGCGTAATTTTGTCTTTAGGAGCCCATTCCATCGTTCTATCAAGCCAGCAGCTTCAGGATGATGAGGAACATGATAGGACCAGTGGATTCCATGGGAATGGGTCCATTGCCGCACTGCATTTGCTGTGAAGTGAGTTCCTTAATCTGAAGCAATGCTATGTGGGATGCCATGCCGGTGGATGAAGCATTCTGTAAGTCCACGAATAGTAGTTTTGGTAGAAGCATCATGTGCAGGGAAGGCAAATCCATATCCAGAGTAGGTGTCTATTCCAGTAAGAATAAAACGCTGTCCCCTCCATGATGGAAGTGGTCCTATGTAATCAACCTGCCACCAAGTTGCAGGTTGATCTCCCCAAGGAATGGTCCCATATCTTGGACTTAATGTTGGTTTCTGCTGCTGGCAAATGGGGCACTCAGCAGTGGCAGTGGCCAAGTCAGCCTTGGTGAGTGGAAGTCCATGTTGCTGTGTTTATCAGCCAGGCTGGCACAATAAACTATCTGAATGACCAAATGAGGTTCATTCCAGGCATGTACAGATGGTTTAATATCTGAAAGTCTATCAACATTATTCACCACATTGACAAGAAAAAGGATAAGAACCACATGACAATATTGAGAGAAAAAACATTTGACAACATCCAACACCCATTCCTGTTTAATATACTCAAGAAGGTAGGAAAGGAAGGAAAATTTCTCAATATAATACAAGCTATATATGAAAAACCAACAGCCAGCATGGTAGTCAATGGTCAAAAGACAAACAAAATCCCACTGGAAAAGGGGACCACACAAGAATGCCCCTTGTCCCCACTTTTATTTGACATCATATTGGAGGTCCTAGCTAACAACATAAGGCAAAGAAAAGATATCAAATATATTTTCTTGGGGAAGGGAGAAGTGAAACTATCATTATTCACAGATGATATGATTTTATATATGGTAAATCCCCAAACTCCACAAGGGGAGTGCTGGAAGCGATAGAGGAATATGGCAGAGTGATAGGATACAAGATCAACAAACAGAAGTCTACCGGACTGCTATACACATTGGACAAGACCACAGAAGAGGGGATCAAAAAGGTAGTACCTTTCACATTAGCCAAGCACAAACTGAGTTATCTAGGAATATAACTATCCGGGAAAAAAAATCAAAAGATTTTTACACGAAGAACTACAGAATACTATTACAAGAAACCAAGAGTCACCTCAACAAATGGAAGATTATACCATGATCATGGATCAGAAGACTCAATATAGTAAAGATGTCAATTTTCCCCAAGGCACTATATAAATTCACCGCTATCCTGATACAAATACCAACATCTTTTTTCAAAGAATTGGAAAAACTGACTACGAACTTCATAAGGAGAAGCAAGATGCCCAGAATTAGCAAAGAACCCTCAAAAAGAAGGACAAATTAGGAGGGCTTGCTTTCCCTGACTTTAATACAGCAATAAAACAGCCTGGTATTGGTATAATGACAGATACTCAAACCAACGGAAAAAAAGCCCCAGAAAAATCTAGAAATAAAAACATCAGCATACAGACAACTGATCTTCAAGAAGGGCTCCAAAATTATCAAATGGGAATTGGATGCCCCTTTCAAAAAAATGGTGCTAGAAAAAAATGGATATCTACCTGCAGAAAAATGAAGCAAGATCCTCGCCTCACTCCATGCACAAGAATAAAGTCAAGGTGGATCACAGACCTCGAAGTAAAACTCCAAACTATTAGGACCATCGACAAAGGAATTAGGACAAACCTAAAACCTCTGGTGCAGGGAATACACAGGCTATCGGAAATAGGGAAAGACACAAACACAGAGGAGGCACAAATTGACATGTGGGATATACTGAAGGTAATACACCTGGTCATGTTGAAAGACTTCACCAGGAGAATAGTAAAAGAGCCCACATATGGGGAAGACACATGCTTTACTTCTTTTAGGAAAAATGTTGTAATTTTGTTAATACTTCAAGCTTTATTTCTGTTAGAGTAAAAATATAAATTTGATGTTGTAAAAAATATAACTTTATGATAAACCAGCAAAAACCCTCGTGTCAAGTTGATACCACAGTAACCCTATAGGACAGGGTAGAACTGCCCCAGTAACTCTTTACAGGAGTTGAAAGTCTCGCCTATCTCCCATGGAGTGGCTGGTGGTTTAGAACTCCTGACCTTGAGTTTAGCAGCCCAACTCATAACTCACCACACCACCTGGACTCCTAAAACGTTTCCTTTTTGATATGGCGTTCTTTGTGCACTCATGATCAGCTTACATGTATTTACTAACTCTGTATCCAGGACCATGATGTGTCATATTACCTGCTACCTGGTGGAGGCACATTGTTCTGTTCTCCAATGAGCATCTCAGAGAAGGCTGACGTGCAGGTAGACAGTTATGTGTACAATAGTGGGATAAATGAAATGATATAAGTCTGATGAAAGCATAGCTGAGTACTGAGGAATAAGGAATAAAGACTGTATGAGGCTTGATAGAACACATTTTCAAGTCTGGGCTATGGCCTGGGAAGATGAGGGAAGGCAACTGCTTCAGGTACAAAAAATAACTTGTATAAGATTAGAACAGTAGGGAAGAAGCTAAGGAGAAGTTCACCATTGTTTGGGTTGTGTATAGAGAGGGGCAAATTTGGGAAGTCAGTGTGATTGGCAGAAATATGTTTAGACTGCAGTCCACAGGTGACTAACAGACCAGAACGTAATAAATAAAGTTGCTTTTTTGAGCTAAAGTTGTAGCAGCTCAGAAAAGAAGGAAAGTTTCTGAAAGATTGTGTAATGGTTCATGGTTAGAACTTGATGGCAGCTGAGTTGAACACAGAGGAAATATCTTGTGTTAAATAAGGTGACCGGATGTCCCGCTTATGGCGGGACAGTTCCAATTTTTAACAATTTTTTCCCGTGTCCCGTGGCATTTTTAAAAAGTTCTGATTTCTGGAAAGAATGCACGACAAGCTAGGGTCTACAGTTTTCGGCTGCCATGTGGCTATTTCACCAGGATATGAGTTTCATTAATGGTGTCCCGCTTTTGTCCCACTTTACCAATGTTAGAATCTGGTCACCTTAATAAGTACATAAATGGACATGGAATTAGCAAAGGTCTTTTGCTTGCCTAAATCAGAAACTGGAACATCAGTCATAATTTGATGCCTTATGTAGGATGTTGCACTGATAGAAATTAACAGGGTTCACAAGAAGCAAGTAACTGTTACTGATAGGGCCAGTAGAGAAGCAGCCTGACACCTGGTTGAGGAAAGTAAATTATTCAAATTACTTTATCTAAAAACACTCCCTGACTTAAATCTATAGAATAGCATTCTTGTCACTGTTAACTCCCTCCTGTCCCCTTACCCAGACTGTCTTCAAACTCACCACCAGCCGTCTATCTATTTCCGCTTGATTATTTTCTATCTCCTGGCATCAGAAAGTATACTTCAGCCTTTTCTCCTGTATACTTCTAGATCCTTAAAGACTTCAATGGGAGATATCTGTAGATTATTTACTGTACATTTTCCATGCAGAGATTTAATTATTTTTCATAGAACTCAAGCGATGAAGAAGTTTGCATGTTTCACTCTGATTTACCACTGCCCTGAAATGATATAGAGTTCCTGTACTCATTCCTTACTTGGTCAGCACCAAATGTGTATTTCTTTTGCATCTCTCATCACTGGTGAACAGCACTGTAGCTCACAATCTTGGAGAGTTCATTTTTGCCCTGCCACTGCCTCTGTACCCTTATTTAGTCACCAAGTTTAAATGCTTTTCGTATATCTCTCCCGATTGACATTTCTCCACTACCAAGCCCACTATCCCCAAATTTCATAGTTTCTCTCTATTTAAACTCTCCCTGTGGTTACCCATCCTGTTTATGAGAGCAAAATTTTTCTCTAGGCATTCAACATATCCTCATTATATTTTGTGGCCTAGAAGAACAACTGGAATGTTTCAGGCTAAGATTTTAGACTATTTATCAATTAGCTCTTCTTATCTTATAAAACTCTTGGCATCTTTGTGAATCACTTCACTCCCAATTTTTTATAGATATATTTATTTTCTCTATATAATGCGTCACAGGATGAAGTCTGAATTCATTAATTATATTAGTATTTAGGCCTAATTTATAATATAGAAATCATACATTTATATGTAACTTTAATTACTATATGACTAATTAAAAGACTGCCTTTTGGCAAAGACTTATTTCTCATTTATTCTACATGAACTTCAAAAACCTTTTTTTAGCACATTTAATCTTATTGTGAAATATTAAATTTCACATAGAATTTGTCATGAGTTTGAGCTGGAGGTAGTAATGAGAAAGAGGGGACATTTTAAAAAACACAGGAAATAGACATGCAAAGAGATAATTATTACAAAATATAGTAAGTGCAGTGATATAAGTATCAAAGCACCATCTAACCCAAGAATGCACCTTTATTACATGGTATCTTTAAGTAATGCAGAGGACGAGCAAATGTAAGCAGCAATCTTACCTCATTTAATACATTTTATCCTAGAAGCATGGTAGCAATAATAAAACTGAAAATTTTAAACAAATCAATGCAACTAAGTTAAAAAACAATTCACAAAATACACTCACCTAGAAAGTGTAGAACTAAGCAAATGTAGATGAGCTTGTTTCTTCCTACACAGATCTCAGCAAGCCATCCTGCAAACATGGGGGCAAGTAGTGAAGTTCCAATAAAGCATAAGTTCAAAATGGCTGCGTGGTAATTGGGATAGCCGAGCTTGACAGTGCAAAAGGGGATCATATTGCAGACGACTTCAAAGAAAGTGAACCTCTCACACAGCTCCACCAGAAGCAAACAAATTCCAGCCTGTATCTTTTTCACAGAGTAGGACGAAGAAAAATAACCATTATCTCTTATAGTTTTCTCCTTCTTAATGCTTTGATTTAAAGGTACTTGCTCATCAATATTTTTAAAGTCTGTACTAGACATGACTACTTTTCTTGAAGGTGACCTCTGATCATGGTTTTACCTTGGTGATTTTTATCCCCACCCCGCTAATTAAAAAGTAAATACGATCTTTGCTTTGAATTTCACATCTTTGTGCTAAAATTTCATAAGGATGTGTTGCACACTAAATGTTGTTCATTTTGATGAACCAGAAGCCCGGGGAAGAAGACAAGAGTATTTAAATGTTCATGGTAGCCCAGAGTAGCCAAATCTGATTTGTTTGTTTAATTGCTTTTAAGCCAAATTAGGCTTTTTAAAATCCCAAATTATATTGAATTACATGAATCCAGTTGCATATGTGTGGAAGCTCATCTGCCTCACACTGATAAAGGTTGAAATACCAAGGCAGATGAAGTCGTTTTTCAGGAGAATTTGAGCACTAGAACAAGAAATAACTTGATCTAATAATTTTTGATACTTTAATTAAATAAGTCAGAACAGTACCAAGAGATAAAGCGTGAAAGAAAATCTGTTTTAGAGGGGCCAGGGTACCTTATCATTATTACATTTCTTGTTATTTTTGGTTGGAATTCTGATAAGAAAGTTAATTAGGTAACAAAAGTGCTAGTACATTTAGGTAACAAGCAGAGTTTACAAGAAAGTAATTTAAGTGCACTAACGAAAGGAGAAAATATTAAACAGAAACCCTCTTCCTTTCAGTTGACCTCCTGCTTGTAGAACAGCCTCTCAGAGGAAATCAGAATCAAAAGACATTATTTGACTCCCTTATTACTAGCTAGCACTCAGGGAAACAGCAGCCAGCCTACACAAGCTTTGGGGAATATTGGATTCAGTATCACCCTGACCCTCCAGCTGAGTTCAATGGATGGTAGCATTCTATTTTGGAAAGCAGTAGGGCACCAATTAAGCCAAAATGCTGCAGCAAAAGGAAATAATATTTAAGGATTTAGCTGCAAGGACTTACGAAGACAAGGGACTAAAGTTATCTGGTCGACGTTATAACAACTCAATAATTGTGAGTATTCGTGTGTTGGAGTCCAAAGCAAGAGACTTATAACGGCTTTTGGCTGGGATTCATGTCTCTCAACCTGGGAAACTGGGAACAAGTCTCTCTGTTTTGACTTCTCATGCTCTCATTGTCGTGGTAGCTATTTGGGGCTGCTCTGAATCACTTTCCTCTTCTTTGGTCACGATGCCTTAATTTTCTTTTATGTAGTGGGATCCAAAGTTGGATACTTTGATGAGTGAAAAAGTGGGTGAAGGGAGATGTCGGACAGTGTAAGATATGACAAAATAATAATTCATAAATTAACAAGGGTTCATGAGGGAGGGAGGAGTGGAGAGGGAGGGGGAAAATGAGGAGCTGATACCAAGGGCTCAAGTAGAAAGCAAATGTTTTGAGAATGATGATGGCAACAAATGTACAAATATGCTTGACACACTGGATGGATGTATGGGCTGCAAGAGTTGTATGAGCCCCAAATAAAATGATTAAATTTAAAAAGAAAAAAAACAAAAGTCATCTATTTATAGTTTTTCTTGGGCAGCAGTTATATACCAGCACTGTCTAGAGCAAACCTCAACATGTGGTTACCCTACCTTGGGCAATTACCCTGTTACATAAGGCTCCCGGTGGAAACTGTTAATTGGGACAATTAATCAGAATGTGCATACACATATGTAAAAACATACATATACATATATATGTGTGTGTGTGTGTATGTACACAATACATATACCTGTGTATGTATGTATATGTGTTTGTATATATATATATATATCAAGGGGGAGCATCTGGTCAAAGATGGTGCCTTTATTTCTCCTCAGAAATATTTATGAAGACTGGATTATCTCAAAAGTAACTGTGGTGGGACCTGAGTCACTCACATTGTTGTGTTACTATCAACTCAGCTCCACCATGTGGTGGCCCCATGTACAACAGAACAAATGTTTCCTGCGACCATAGCATCATCATGTGGATAGATATACACAATGTGGGGTTTTTTTGTTGCACCTTCCAACCTAGGGACTCATTTTTCCAGGCCTTTATTGGAAAAAGAAGCCCGAAAGGCATAGTGGCTATTGGTTGAGCTACTAACTTCAAGGTCAGCAGTTTGAAACTACTAGCAGCTCCTTGGGAAAATGATAGGACTTTCAGCTCCCTGAAAGTTACAGTCTCTGGGGGCAGTGCGTAAATGGATCATCTATGATATCCTGCAGGAAAAGTCAGCACGGCTGGCTATTTGCCTTCTGGAAGCATTTTCCTTCCATCAGTTCAGTTTAGCTAAATAAACTGTGCTTTTTAAAAACAGCAATTTTATTTTAAAAAATGTTTATCATGAGCTGGGTGAACATTTACAGAGGCAGTCAGTTTTCCAGTCAACAGTCCATACACATTTTGTTACACATCATTGATGGCCCTTGCCCACACTGTAGCACCACTCATCCCCCTTTTCCTTATTTCTACTTCCATTCTTGTCTTCCAGCCCTTCCTGCTTTCTAAACATTGCCCTTGGGCAAATGCTGCCATTTTGATCTCAAATGGTTGAGTGTTATAAGGAGTATGTACCTACCTTGTGTGATTGTTCACCTCAAAGACCTACTTATTGTTTGGCTGAAATCGAACCAAGAAAGTGAGTTCAGTTGAAGTTAATTAAAACCTTCTCAGCTTACATTTTTCCCTTGAACTTAACCAAACAGATCCCTTTCTAAGACACTGTTTGTGACTGGACCTTTTTATCCCCCCATCTCTCAGCTCTTTAAAACATTTTTGTTGTGAATTGAGCGAGGGGTGGTAGTTATATTTCAGACCATCAACTCTGAATTCAACAGTTCAAGCCACTCATCCGCACAGCTCCCATATTCTATCCTACCCCTCACCTCCTCTGGTTTCTCTTCTCTCTCTTGTGGTCATCCATCCTCCCTTTCACTCAACTCGATACTTGTCGATTCCTTTGGTATGCAAGCCTTTTATCCTTAGCAATGATCTCATACAGTATTTGTCCTTCTGATTGGCTAACTTCACTCAGCATAAAGATCTTCAGATCAATCCATGTCTTGATGTGCTGTTAGGTAGTTTAGTTAGGGATTGGGGCGTCCATTACGCATGCTTAGAGGTCCGAGATGCCGGCCAGGAAGGGGAGCTACACTGAGTGGGTGCTGCACCTCGATTGGCCCACCTAGGCCAGGTAAATGCAATTCAGCCAATGGGGTCGACCAGGGTCGTCCACCACGCCTCCCTGCGAAATAATTGAAAAAGATTGGATCCTGGTGCCTACCGTATGACTTTCTGAGCAGCTTCTAGGGAGACTGCTCGTTGGTGATGAGCCTGCGGTGCCTGTGTAAACCTGAAATTTCTTCTAACTCTCATAAAACTCACTTGGATCACAAAACAGGCTTTGGCATGAATTCTTTATTGTGCGGAGCCAAGGACTGAGGTATATATCTACCCTGAGAGATCTAACAGTGCTTCATGGTTTCATCATATTTTTTAGCTGTGCCTAGTACTCCATGTGTGCATGTACCAATGTTCGTTCCAATGTTCATTGAGTTTTGAGAACAAGAAGAAGTCTAAAGCAGCAAGATCAGGGTTATAGGCTGGATGGAGTAAGATTTCCCAGTGAAATTCTCATAGGGCTGCTAACCATGAAGAATGCACAGGTGCGTTGTTGTGCTGGACGAAGTTCTTCAGTGCTACTTGCCTTGCCTCTTTATTACCAATAAAGGTTCCAGTTTTCCTAAAACTTATTCTTAATAAGCCCTTGTGTTTGTACTACTTCTTTTGAGAAAACCTATCAAGATCACACCCTTGACATACCAGAAAACATCACCATGACGCCTTAGAAAATGTCACCAGGAAATTCTAGACAATACCACCCTGATGTTCTGAGTTAACCACTCTGCCTGGAGTTTAATTAACCCAGCAGAGCCTCTTGGAAGTCACTGCTTTGATTGGACTTTTTTTAGGCACCCTTACGAGACGAAGACACGTGTGTTACTGAGAGAATTTGTCTGTAGCCATTCTCTGAAGAGACATTTGAAAACACAGTTGGTTTGAATAAGCCCTTATATGTAGGAAACGGAACCCTCGTAGCAATACTTTTTACTCCCTTTTGTGTTCATTTGCGTGCCCTTTCCCTCAGTGTCCCCAAGTCCTTTGAGAAGGGAAACCGTTTCCTATGTCTCTTTCCACTCCCACTGCGTAGGGCAGTGGCCAGAAGGTCCTAGTCTTTGTATATGTCTAGTGGCTGAGAATGACTAAGAAGCTTTCATTCAGACGGAATTCTTCAAAAAGTGCGGATTATTTGATTTGTCCATCTTCCTACCAAGATCCTGACTTTAACAACTGCGTAACAACCACTTGGTGCTGTTCTTTTAAAAGAATTTGAATCAGTGAATCATTGCTTGACTACCTGACTGAATAAATGAAAGAATAATGGTTTAGATTTTGACAGTGTTGAGAAGTGATGAAGGACACAAAAGCAAGCCTATGCTCTAAGTGGACTCCATCTGACCACTAGCCTGAGCATCTAGTAGAAGTTAGACACCGGGAAGCTCTTGATGACAAACACCAACCCTAGGATCATATGGCTTTATTGAGTGCATAACTCCAACTATTAAGAAAAAACTATAGTCCAGTCAGAGGATCCCTGGTAGCATAGTGGTTATGCCTTGGGCTGCTAACCATAAGGTCACCAGTTTGAAACCACCTATCACTCTGCAGGACAAAGATGAGACTTTCTGCTCCCCCAGAGTTACAGCCTTGGAAACCCACAGTGGCAGTTCCGTCTGTCGTCTAGGGGCACAATGAGCCAGAATTGCCCTGATGGTAGTGAGTGTTTGAGAACATCACATGAGTTATATGATAACACGGAGGAAAGAGAAAGTGCATAGAAGCATATACTAAGGCTATGCCTACCTGAAAATATTCACAGGAAGATTTCCATGAAGGATGTGAATGTTAAATCTGAGGTCAGTTGCTCAGACTCATGGTGACCTTATGTATGTCAGAGTGGACTTTT